ATTATATATATATATATATATATATATATATATATATATATATATATATATAAGAGAAATGTACATTAGTAAAAATTTAATATATTTATTTAAAATAATAGAAAATTTATAAAAAATTTAAGAAATAAGAAAAATAATAACTATACCTTCGGCCTTGTGTGATAACTATAGCAATATTATTGCTAATGGTAGCTGTAGCAATATCAATGCGATAACGCTTAATGGTCGTGGTTGATATCAATCGGATATTAGAGGTCACGGTTCCCAACGGATATGCAACATAATGCATGAGCATAGCAACGCACTACGACGACCGTGGGAGTCATTGGTCGATGCATGTGCACGACTGCATAGAAGGATGATCCATTTGTGATGCTCAATCAGCAATGCACCATGGAAGCATTCCACCGATGGAGAATGTGGCGATGGGGCATGACAACCGATGTGGTCTTTTGTCAATTATGCAAGGATAGCAGCCCTATAGTGAGCGACAGGTGACATGCAAGTGTGCATGCGACAAGCAACCGTTGCACTACTTACCCACACACGTGGGTGTGATGGAACCAATGACGGTTGTGAGGGAGGCTACGAGGGCGAAATATTAGGGTTTATTTTTAAAATTATAGTTTTGTCCTTATAAATTCTTCTAATTCCAACTTATGTCCTTTGAATGATTCTACCCATCAAAAATTGGATATTTTCTCTACGTATCCCAATAAAATTATAGTTTTATCCTTAAAAAAATTAAATTTTTTTACTTATATCCTCAATTATAAAATTAATTAATTAATTTTATTTTAATCAAATATTTTGATTGAACTTGATTATTATTATTATATTTTGATTGCTTGGCTAGATGTAGATTCGATCAATCAAGTTTTAAACAAATTCGATGAAAGTCAAATTTTAATTAATTTTTTATTTTAATCAATTTTAATTTTGATAGACTTGTGAATGATCGGTTCAAATTTATGAGTATTTGGGTAGGCCAATTCTAGGCTTACCCAATTAAATAGGATTGATTGATATAAGTGTTCTATGTGGAATTAAAAAATATAAATTATAATTTTTTTTATAGTTTTATTATCTGACATATTAATATAATTTTATATATAATAAATAAAAATCTAATTACTTTTCTTGGTATTTTTATTCGATCATTAATATGTATATATTTAAAATTATAAAATAATATTTATTTTGTATATAAAAGTTATCATATGAGTTTTTCTATATACTGATTAGTATTCAATAATTATTATGATTTTTATTATTATTGAACTATTTTAACATAAATTAGATTAAAATTTTTCGGTGAATATTATACAGTTTTATCTGATTAATAGTTCCCAAGTGATAGAGGATGGTAGGTTCATAGGATGTAAATTATAATAATGGTCTTGTAATCGCTAAAGTGGCCTAGATTGATAACTTATAAAATTATATTAAAAAATTAATTTTAAATAATATTAAAAAAATAATATTCAATATATATTAGGAGATTTACATAATGGAGAATCTATTTCGAATAACTATGTGATGGGTAGAAAGATACTGTTTTGGATATTCTTATAATTTAGGATTATATATCAAAAAGATAATAATACTATTCTACAAAGATGATATCAATCCTTTATAAATATTTTTATATGAATACTAAATATGTCAATATTTCATCAAAAGGTAAAATAAAAATAATATCAATAGTTCAATATTTTCTAAAAAAACTCAAATTATTAATATTATATTATAATTATAGTTTTTTATTATATTTTTATAAATATCTTTAATCCATCGCTTATAACGATTCATAGTAAGAAATGAGAAGATAAATTTAATCTTCTTTTAAAATCGACATCACTATAACTCGAAGACGATGTGCTCATAAATCGAAATATATACATTGTAAATTTGATTAATTACTATCTTATTTTAGATTTTGTTATTAATTTTTTTTATATAAAAATAATATAAGGATGTTTTAATGCTTATACTAATCACTACTACATAGTAACAACGCAGGCAACCGACCGTCGCGAAATTGAAAGATACCATCATATTAAAGAAGACAAAGAAACCCTTTATTAGGGGAACGAAACCCATGCAATACATCATAAGCAAACTATTCTCATTTTAAGAGAGAGACCCACAGCTTTATTCCATGGCTTCCGCTTCGCCATCAGAGCCGGGCTTCGGAACGCTGCTTCATATCTCCCAAGTCCCGAAACTACCGGCAACGAAATCGTAGTGTGCCCCAATCAGCTTCAACGTGTTCTTCTCCACCTCTTCCGTGACGAAGGGATAAGTCTTCAGGTTCTCCAGGGAGATGTTCACCGCTTCCTGCGAGAGGTTGAAGACGACACAGAGCAACCTTTGTGAACGGCTGCATCTCAAGGCTAATAGATGAGGTCAATGGGCATGTCATAGCGTAGCATGTTCTTGGAAAGAATGTCAAGTCTTAAGTGAGAAAATTATAACCTATAAGTGTATGATAAGCATGTTACCATTAATTTAATTTAAATATTTTATGTGATTCAAACTCAACCAAGTTAACAAATTACTTACAAATCAATCATCTCATAACAATTAGTTCAAAAGATCCATTAGATATTATCATAAGTGATTAGACCACAAAATTCGATCCTGTATGTATGGTTGTAAATGAAAGAGAAAAAGAGGAAGATAGTTGTTTGCCGATTGCTTATTTTTCTCAACGGCTGTGGTTAAGAGAACAATAATACCTTCTCGCATTGGGTGCATTGATCCGTAAAAGGCAAGGCCGAGTGCTCGGCCTTCACCTTCTCCATTGCTGGTAAGCAAATCTTCATCCACTCCTCTATGAAGTCACTGATCAAAACAAATAAAGATGATCATTCATCTTGTCCATGAAGATGAGTTAAAGAAGACGAGGTTGCTCTCATCAGTTGCATCTGATCTCTGTTTCGATCAGTTGAGTTATAGTGCCGATGCGAAGACATTAGCATGCCGATACTGTCGATTGGATGTGTTCCTCACCTGCTGGTGGTGCCGTCTTCTTTCATGGACATCAGCCCCTTGATTCCACCGCAACGGCTGTGACCGATCACCACGATGTACTCAACCTGCCAAACGCTTACTGAGATGTAGTAAGAGACAGTACGAAGGTCGAATTATGATAGATCTCGTGTATCGAAGAACATTAAGATCAGCTAATGTGATCCAAGAATGGATTCTCTCATTACATCCCCGAACGCAATGTTCAAACTCCTTTTCATCAGAGACAGCACGCGGACATGCAACTTTCTTCCACCTTTCCACCTCCCTAACAAAGAAAAGATGACAGGGGAAACAACGTGATTGACTGCTGACCTTGAGATGGACGACGGCATATTCGACGGCAGCCCCAACCCCGGAGTACCTTGTCTGCAGGAGCACCACCCACGATGAGGGGGGACCAAATGAGCACCAAATTGACCAACCACAAGTATCTGCAATGATGAGAGAGAGAGAGAGAGAGAGTACTTCATGGAGGCTGCAGTATACTACTGACCTGATCATACGGAGGGACCATGTTGGCGATGTTTCGGACAATGAAGGCTTCCCCAGGCTGGAAGCTGAGCACCACCGACGGGCACACTCGCGAGTCGGCACATGCAAACACCAAGAACTGCAACACCCAACATGAGAAAGGAAAGGAGGAAACACCCTATTCTCTTCCTTCGCTGTCTTCTCTCTTTGGCCCACAGATACGACTAGCTACATGCAGGCCTTAAGATGAGCGAGTGAGCTTAGTTACCTTGGGGCTCTGACCTTGTGCGAGTTGAGAGAACAAAGTGGGATCGTTCCTGTGAGGCACAGAGCAGAAGAGCAAGCAGTCATCATGCGTGTTAATTAGTTCGAGTGAAGGAAACAAAGCATGAATCGAGTGAATGAAAGGGGACAACGATACAAGACTTGCATCAGTTGACCCACAGGCCACCTACTCGTAGACCTCCTTCTTGAAGCGCTCGAACCCTGAGGTCAACCTCTCCACCGGATCCATCTCCTGCAACATCCACAGAGACTTCCTAAGCCATCAGAGGCACCAAGCTCTACCCCGTGAGGAAGAACACGGACAGCTAACAGGAAGGAGAGAACAGGATCTAAAGAAGCAGGAGAGGGACTCGATAGATCTTTGAACAGAGATTTGACCGGATTGAACGTCTAGAATTCCGAGATCGGAATTGAAGAACAGTAGATGCAAAGATAAAAGGGGGAAACTAATTAAGATTCCACGAACCTTCTTCCCCCGTGATGAGTCCTTTGCCAAAAAAGGAGGCCTTCGAGATCCTGTGGATGGCAACAAAGAAGCAGCGGCAGCGCATTATATAAACGCCGACCCACCCGAACCCGTTTCAGATGGCTCGCGAGAACAGCATCAGCTTTCCTTCTGTCGCTCCAGCTGTCGGTGGAGGGCTGGTTGTCGTCCCGCGAGGTGGGAGTGGCATAGGATTAGGAAGGCTATGCCCGCTGACCACGATTGTTTGGCTGCCTCATGTGGCCAACCTGTTCGTCCCGTTTGGTCCGAACGCAGAGCCCAATTTTCTATGCCGAATAATAATTCGATCTATAAAGCTTTTGATTGGAGGACCTGATCATGGTGGAGTATGCCGGTCTCGTTTTGGAGACGGCCCACAAACGGCGACAACGGCGGAGCCCGCGCGCACCGACGCCCACACGGAGCCGGCAACTCTCAAAAGACCCACCAATGGTAATTTACACTCTCCCAAGTGTTTTCTCCTGCCAAGAAAGCTCGTTTTCCTAAATTTCTACCTTTATTCATGGCATGAATTAGAGGACATTAGCTGAATTCTTGGTAGATTTTGAGAATTGAGCCAAAAATATATAAATTC